TTCAGCCGAAGATTCTAATCCAGAAGTTGAAAATAGGAACGGTATAACGCGTTCAAGCTGGATAGTTGCAGATTTGTTTGAACCATCACCGGCTTCCAGAGAACGTGTCAGGATGCCAGTGAGGACGCGGGCAAGAGATGCTGCTGCAACACGTACGGTCTCCTTGATGTCATCGAGAACCTTGAAGGTTTTGCCCCAGATTGCGTCGAGATACTTTTCATACTATACGTCATTGTTAGTGTGCGCCATGGTTCGCACTATGACCTGCTTACCTTTTCGATGCTTCTTCCCTGCACAAGATCCGCGATAGCCGCGCAAGAAGCCTGTCGAACGCGCCACTCTTTCGTGAGTATGCTCACTAGCAGATCATCCATTATCGCATCGAAGTGCTTGTCGATAGTGGCCGAAGAGTCCTTGACGAGCGCATTCCAGATGTCGTTCATCGAGCGTTGTACGTTCGTGTTTGGGTCAAATCTGAGCTTGTGTTAGTATGCCTGCCAGTCTATAAGGTTATAATCGTCCGCTCAGACAGAGAACGTACCGATACCGATAGAGCTTTGGATAAAGCTTAGGGTTCTGAGCCAGATATCCGTCGACACTAGAATCGGAGAAGATGTTGCTTAAGCCGAAGCGACCAAATGCGGCTCGACTTGACCAGATAGAGTTATTGGATGCCATTGACATAAAGCGATACACCAAACTTGAGTCTCCGACCTCGGCTGCCAGGTTCAGAATATCCTTGTATGTTGTGATTGATCCATCTCCAGTTGGCAGTGCACCAGGCTCGAAAAGTTGCGTATCGTCCGTGACAGTACCGGCCATTTTGGACTTGTTGTCCGAGAACGAGCCGACGAGATCGCGCACAAGATCATCTTTGAGTTGACGGTCGCCCTTTTCGTACACCAAGCCCAATCCTCTCGAAGCTGCCTCCTGAACGACCTCGTCGCGATCAGAAAGACAGTTCTTGAATGCTACTTGACATTGTCCAAGATAGCCTTGCATTTCAGGCTTGTGACCACAGTACTGTAGCAGACAAAGCAGCCATATCACAGAAGCTTTCTTCAACGAGGGTTTGGTTTGAACACAGCCCTTCAGTGTCTTCTCTAGAACCGCACCAAGTGTCTTCTCACGCTTGGGCCCAGCTGGTGTCTGTAGAGGCGCATCCCATGGATTTTGTGGTTGGCTGGGATGTAGTATGTCGAGCTCGGAAGTCAGAGCCTTCGAATCCCAACCACTGGCGAAGCAGCTTAATGCTTCACCAACGGAAAAGTGTACTTCTGGCTGACGAACCTCATGCAGCTCATAGAGTTTGTCGGCGATGGCCTTGTACTCTACTGCTTCCTCAGCTCCGGCTGCAGCTTCCTCCGTGATCATAGAAAGATGGCCCAAAGCCAGGATGGCACTGATCGTGCCTGTCTTAGCAGAATCGTAGATGTGCTGAGCAATATCTTCAACCTTTGCATACTTGGAAAGTAATGAGGGGGTAATGACATAGAAAAGACTGAGCTGATCGATACAAGAGAAGGCTGCACCTTTCAGTGTCGCGTCCCGAGATTCCTTCATAATTTCGACCACTGACTGCAACAGTTGCTGGATCGGATGATCATCTGTGATTGCTGTGGATGCTGCATGGCTTCTCCAGAATGCCCTGCTGTAGTAGTAGCCGAGGGCAAGAATTATGCCGCTGATCTGATTGATATCAGCGCCGACTGCTGACTTCCAAGTGCTAAGCTTGTCGAAGAATGCTACTTGGGTGGTCTGAAGGGCGTCTTGGTTAATGCTCTCGTGAGATGCTAGCAGACCATACGCGTGGGCAGCGGTAAGTCGTCGTCCAGCGTTGTTGGCTGTGATGGAGGGTTGTAAAGCGCGGAAGTCTCGGACGATGTTCGCTTGGACCCAATGACTTTGGGGTAGCAAAGACAACATTCGCACGAAGGAAGTACCAACATCGCCAGTGTCACTAATGTCGTCTTGAGTAATCTTGTCGAAACTGGCTCGCAGTATCACTGCAAGCGATCGAGCATGGGTCTTGTCTGCCGCATATGCACGGAATGCTTGCCGGGCGCGCATATCCGTAGTCATCTGGGCATCAAGTTTCCTTTCCCAATCTTCGGGAATCTCGTCAGCTATGTCTTTGTCAAGTAAGGCAGACTGCATAGCGACGCTGGAACAAAAGCTGATGACGATCGGTAGAGCCTCTGGATGATGCTGGTAGAAGTGTTGAATCTGAATAAGAGCGTCCTCCGACTCGTCAATGTCCATGGCGTCCTCATCCTGCCCTTGCTGCACGATGATGAAGTTGACCAGCTTGTCGAAGTCCGGAAATTTTAGTGTACTCTGTTCGCGTTCACCAGGAGGGGTGTTGGACATCTTGAACCAGTACGGATCGAGACCACGCCGTCCTTCCTCGATGACCTCATGCCTTTCAGAAGCGCCTCCACTGACTGCAAGAATATCTATCCACCGTGCTAGCACATCCTCGTAAGGAAGACAACGATTGGCAAATCGTGTCGCAACATAACGAGTGCTCCTTGTAAATTTACTCGAAGCTGGCGTACTGTGTTGATCTACAGATGCATACCTGAGCAGTATCTGTCGAAACCTGGGCATGACAGAAGGATCAAAAGGCTTGGAGAAAGCGCCTAGTACGGAAGAGAGAGCCTCCTCTATACTAACGGCTACATCTTTGCCTGCTGAGTCTTCGCGAAGAGACCGAAATAAGAACTCTAGCAAGTCTAGTGACGGTTCAAGCAAGATCTTCTCGGGGGCAGCTTTGGCCAAGAGCCCAATAGTCTCATATCCATAGCCTCGCAGCTCCATGTCCTGATCACGATCCGGAGTGGGCCAGCCTTGGTCTTGTATGAAAGCTCTCAGATTTCCCACGAGACTTTCAGCAACCTGGGAAAGATCGGTCGACTTGCCACGACGAGCGACGAAGTTGACAAGAGAGAAGATAGCTGAGCGATGCTTGGAGGCTTCTCTCCCCGCTGTCTTATTTGTCGCATTCAGTTCTGGCGAGAGGAGGCCTTCTTCAACGAGCCTAGCTATCTGCTGTGGATATGTAGTGCATCTGACAGACTTTGACAGGACGTTTAGTATCCGAATCTGTAGTGGTGTCTTTACAGGCAGCGAGCCGCTAGCAGAGTCTGAGCCAAAGTAGAGTTCGAACAGAACTTCCACAATTTGCGGTTGTTCGAGGTCCTTGGATAACATCACACGTTTCAGTGTATCTTCACCGACTTCTGATATCCGAGAATTGGTATCAGCGGACGCGAACAATGCAGGTAGAAACTTCTCATCCTCCTTGAACAGTCCACTTGCCATGAAGCGTGTGACTAGGGCCTTCGATTCGGCCAAGTTCAATCCTGCATCTGCGGTGGGATCCCAAGCGTCTGGCTTGCCCTGAAGCGTCAGAAACCTGTAGTCATCTGGAGACAAGCCCGGACACCGTAGCGAAGCTTGGGCTTGGGGGTTACTCTCTCGTACAATGCTCAGCATGAGCAGTTTTCCAAACCACTTCGAAAGGAAAGCCGCATCATCATCGGAGAGACCTAAAGTGGTTCTCAGCTCATCGTCTTCTTTGCTGCCGCGAAGGGGAAGCTTGAAGTGGACCAAAAGACGGAGGATGAGATGGAATAGCTGAGAAGCATGCTGCTCAGACTTCTCATAGTCTTTTGCGATGCCCTGTAGCAGAATGGGAAGAAGCTCTAGTCGTTCGCCAACAGTAAGCCGGGATATACCCTGCTGGATATAGAGAATGTCAAAATGCCGTATAAGAGAGACGTCAGGATTCTCTTTGTATTGCTTCAGCAGAGCGCTCACAGGGAGCTTGATGTCTCTGGGATGCCGCGTTAGTGCAAGGTCTTGTATTTGGGCAAACTGGATTGCGTACTGTGACTTGATGCGGGTGTTGATGTGTTGGCATATGGAGATGACCTGGGAGAAGCCGCTATCAGCGGTGATCGAGATGGATGATGTCGAAATCTAAGCCGACTATATGTGGGTCTTACCTTATTTCGTACAGCAACGCTATCTGACCCGAGTTTGAGTAGTAGTGGAGAGAGATAGGTTTTGAGCAAGTCTTCAAGCTTCTTGTCCGAGCTAGCGAGAGCAATGCGCATCTCCACCTTGCCGACTAGAGCAAGCTCTCTGGCTTCTGGTGTTTGTTCCGACGCCATGTTGAGATGTGCTGAGGGTATCGTGATGACGAGGCAATCAACAAACGAAAGTCTTATAAGAGACGCAACAGGCAGAGGCGGATGTTGCGTGGCTCATCGGCTTCGGGAAGGATAGATGACCAAGCGATGCAGTGTGTTAGCGTATTGCCCTGTTCGTCCGTGATTGCCACAAGTCGTGTCGGACATTCACTCTTGTGAGGCGACAGGGGTTGGGCGCACGGGTACCGGGATGACGCAGTCGCAACTGCCTGCAACAATCGCATCGCGTCTTCGACGTGCTTCTAACAACGTCGACGCCTTCGCCTGTCTCAGACACCTGCAACACCGCCAGGCTAGTAATTCGCCCCTCTCATAGCCTGAACTATTCCTTTTTTCCCACCCTCTCCCCGTGTACCAGCAGACAAGCCGAGCCGCGCCTGTCACAAGCCGTCCACTGTACCTGGAATCACATTGGTACTCAGCACCCCAAACCTCACACCTTGTAGGACATTCACCGCCTCACCAAGTCGCGTCTATTCGCCTCACATATCATTGCCATACCTTTGTGCGCGCACCTCGATAGCTGTCGTCGGACTTTGATGGGTACATGAACTGCCCCACCACGGTTCTACCTCGATTACAGTCGCGACCGCCACACACAATTCCTGACACACGCTCGACGACCGAAATACCCTCTGCGACCCAATCAGCGCATTCGGAATAGCACACCACCGTCACAAAGGCCTCCGCTACCTATTCCACAGGTCAAAGAGACGCATTCCCCCGCCTAAACTCAATACCAAACTTAAACACCAGAGGGCGGAACACATACACTCGCCCAAGATGGATGAGGAAAATGTTGCCAACTTCTGCGGCATCACGTCCTGCAGCCCAGAGCAGGCTGCTCAGTACTTGCGCCTAACAGATGGCAACTTGGAGCAGGCCATACAACTCTTCTTCGACTCTCCTGGACTTGCCGATGCTCCTGCTGCGCCATCACAGCCCTCAGCAGCCGCCTCCGCACAGAATCCCATCAATATCGACTCCGATGATGACATGGACTTTGATCCCGCACCACAAGGCAACGCGCCGTCCACACGGGCACAACCAGGCGTGGAAGACGATGAAGCCATGGCACGGAGGTTACAAGAAGAGATGTATGGCGGCGGCGGCGGCGCCGCCGGTGGCGCTGGCAATGATGAGATTCGCGCGCCCATAGAACGAAGAGTGGAAACACTTGTTGGCCCAGGCTCAAACTGGGGGCCTGCCGATGACGAAGAAGATCTTGATGCTATGGTCCAGGAGCAGCTTGCTCGTCGGCGGACAGGTATGCCACAAACCTCATATATACAGTTTTCGGACTTTGCTGACCCATCTGATGAAGGCCGCGCCGGTATCTTCAACCAGCACACAACCCATACCAATGTCTGGGATAACACGACCGATTCGAGCACCCGGCGACGCGAGCTTGCGACCGCGACTGGCGGTGCTTCAGAGCAGTCTTCTAAGATGAACATGCTCGCAGAGCTATTCCGACCACCGTTTGAGATCATGTACCAAGGATCGTGGGAAAAGGCGCGAGATATGGGCAAGGACGAAGAAAAGTGGCTGCTTGTCAACATCCAAGACCCGGCAATCTTCGACTGCCAGCGCCTTAACAGGGATATCTGGAAGAATGACGATATCAAGGCAACTGTGCGAGAGAACTTCATCTTCATGCAGTATGCAAAGGATGATCAGCGTGGACAGCAGTACATGAACTACTACTTCCACGCCCGTGACAGTTCTGACGCCTACCCCCACATCGCCATCGTTGACCCACGAACAGGCGAGCAAGTCAAGGTCTGGTCGGGACCACCGATACCCGAACCAGTTGAGTTCCATGCTCAGCTTCATGAGTTCCTCGACCGTTACAGCCTCAATGTCAATGCGAAGAACCCTGTAGCGAAGCGGAAGTCTGAGTCTAAGAAGAAGGATGTCGGTCGCATGACAGAAGAGGAGATGCTGGAGATGGCGCTACAAAACAGCATGGATAACGGCAAGGGGCCGAAGGACGATGACCCAGATGCTCTCACCAAGTCTACAGACAACATCAAGGGCAAGGGCAAGGCCGAAGAAGTCGCTTCTGAGCCGCCAGCTGAGCCCGAGGCAGCTCCTTCGAATCCTGTCTTCGCTGCCATCTCCGCACATGCTCCTCATACCGAGCCTACCGTTACTGATCCCAAGGTCACGACTCGCATCCAGTTCCGTGGCCCGTCAGGCCGTCCGATTGTGCGCCGCTTCAACCTTACAGACCCTGTTCGCCGTGTCTACGAATGGATCAAGTCCGACGTGCCCTGGGAAGGCAAGCAAGGAGCTGAGTTCGATCTGGCGTTCATGGGCAAGAACCTCCTCGACCACGTCGACGACACGGTCGAAGCCGCCGGACTCAAGGGTGCCAGTGTTATGGTAGAGTTCTTGGATAATGAGTAGTCAATGGATGTGACTTCTAGTATCCTTGGGTCGTTGACACGGCCACCAAGTATGATGAGCTTGCGTACTGCTTATAGGCATACGAGAGATACGAGTAACGAAATATGTACTTAGATGTTTCTACGCATCACCCGCTTGGACGGGATCCCGGGGTCTATAGATCTTTCTTACATCGTCACCACTTGACCGTGTGTGGTCCTATACCCTTGCATTCTGTGGGCACTTTACGTTGTAGTCCTGCTAGCTTAAGTGTTGAAATAGAAAAAACACTTTGTTCTGAGTTTTGACTGGTACTGATTGCCTCGGGTGAAATGCGAAGCATGGAGAAGATGAGGACTACCAATGTATAATGCTACCCTATAATCTCTCTAGCCACCTGTCGTAAGCCCCGTTGCATATCATCCGTAGACAAGAGGCTAAGCGAAAGCCTACTAGTAATTCGAACTCTCGCCGCCCATGTCAACATCGTCGTCTTCATCGACTTTGAGGATTTTGACATCGTCGTCTTCAGCGTCTATGTCCACATCCTCATTCGGCTTGAATACCATGGGCGAATCGAACTTTTCTTTTTCCGTGCATTGTACTTCTTCCTCATTGGTGCCAAAAGTCTGCTGCTTGTCGTCCGTAGCCGAGCTCATAAAGGCATCTCTGTTTTCGCTCGGTGTGAACGTTGGCTCTTCGCCATGCGCGCCTGACTCAGAGCCGACCATGTTTTTACCATAGATATCCATCCGGTCTCGGTCACTGTCGTACCAACCATCTCCCTCTTCCTTTGAGTCGAATAGGTACTTGCGTTGTTCTATCTCGACGTCGTCTGAATGGTTTGCCGTTTTCTCAAGATCCCGTGGGTCGACGAAGGAGTTGGATTCGGTATCCCCCTGCTCCACCTTCTGTCTGTTGTTATGTTCCGCTTCTTCCATGACGCGGTCAAGGTCCATCTTGAACGGAGCTTTGTCGTCACCCATCACAGAATCCTTCTCACTTTGTGCAGGGCTGTGGTTATTGCGTGTAGAATCGTTGTTATCTTGGGTGTTCTGCCCCAACGCATGCACTGTCACATTGGACAGCGTGGTTGCGGCTGTTCCTTCTGCCCTTTCTTCAGCTATTTCACCGAACCCATCTGCATTGGCGGCTTGTTCTGCTTCATCTAGTGCGTTAAGCTGTGAGTGCAGCGATCTCGCATGTTCTTGGTCTCTTCTCTCTTGGGCTTCTCGCTCCTCAGCCTCGAGCTTAATTGCCATTTCAGCATCTGCACGGTATTCGATAGCTGCTTTTTCCTGCTCAACATCTTTGTGCCCTCCAGAGTTATCGGTATCCACATTCGAAACTGCATTGTCATCGTGCTCAGCCCTTTCCCTGGCAGGAACGCCCCGGAGGGGATCCGGGTCATCGAACCACGTGCTGGAACCGTAGTACTGTACATGCAATCTCTCGCGCATAGCTCGGTATTGTTCCCACAAACTTTTCGGGGGAGGCTCTGTATGCAAGTGTGATTTAAAATTTCCCTGAGCATCTAGTAGGATGGGTTGGCCGGCGTGAGAGCGACCCGTTCGGGAAGTGTCTTCCGTGAGTTGCTCCTCGCCCTTCGTTTTGGTAGAGTCTTCTTCACTGGGCGACTGTGCATCCCTTTTAGACTCGTAGTTCGTTGCCCAATCATTAGCTGCAACATTCCGTTCACCGCCAGGAGGTTCAGATTCAGGTTCAAGACTGGATTGCACGGCTCTTGCCAGCTCTTCTGAATCGACATCCATCTTAGGATCAGCAGAATCTAGAGCCTTCTGGTCGGCCATTTGGTCTTCGAAGTGAAAATCTAAAGCTTCCTTTAGATTGTAATTGAAAATTGCAAGCACTTCCTTGGCGTGGTCGACACTGGCGAAAGTAACGGAGCAGAATTCCCGTATAGCGTCAAGGTTGCTTTCACTCAGACATGTAGGCTCATCCTTGGTCATTGGCGTATTTTGGTCTTGTTCCACAGGCATATGTTCGTCCTCTCCCTGGAGCGACTTTAGAGACGAAGTTGAAGATCTGGCCGTATCGGATGCTTCAGAGGGTTTGGTGATCTCATATTGTATTTGTTTGATCAGATCGTCCCTCTCTGTAGTCAGCAAAGCCTTTTTTCTTTCAAAAGCTTTGCTATCTGCATCATCTGGATTGTCGGGGCTGCATAAGTAGTCAAACTCGTCGAGAATCTCCCCAAATTGATTGAGAAGGCGGGTTTGCTCGTCCGAAAGTTTGTGTCGTTGCAATCGCAACTGCCGACCATGCAGCTCATTTTTGAGGAAGCAGAGGATCTCGTCGTCATCATCTTTCTTTTTGAGTAACTTCAGATTCATCTCGATAGCAATGCTTCTCGCCTCCTGGCTCGTTCTCTGGCTCGCGCTAATGGCGCCTTCCCCCCATGTCTCCTCAGTCTCTGGATAGCCTATCTGATTGGTAGCAGTTGCTAGAGACTCTTCGAGTAACTGCAGGGACCTGGCGTCAAAAGTCATCTTGCTCCATGCCAATCTTGCTGTCTCAAACATGTACGACCAGCGAATCTTGTTCTGCTTTCCTGGCTGCTTGCGTACCCTGTCGAACCTGTTCCAACAGATTGGCGGAATTCTCTGACCATCGTGTACGACTGTCTGTCCGAGTAGCGATACAACCGACGCGAGGACTGGGCCGTTGTACTGTAATGCGTACGATTAGCGTCATTTCGATCACAACTCGATGCTTAACCCAACATACCGCGTCTCCTCCGTGCAAGCCAGAGTGAAACTTTACAAGATTCGCAGGCCCATGTATGCAGTAGACAAAGTCGTGTGGAGTACGTAAGAAGTTGCGGATGTAAACGATGCAGCATGTGGCTCTGGTGCCAACTTCGTCAGATGGTTTGTTGTATGCTTCGATCTCATCGCTGCGGTAGGGTGAGTGGGACCACTCTGCGCGGAGTCTATAGAAGTTATTCGATGCGCAGCTTCCATGACTGAACCTGTTAGCTGGTGACTGCAACAGCGACGGCCATGTTACTCATCAATCCATATGTTGCACAAGTCCTAATTGAATGCCTCTTCAGTCTCTCGTGCTTTGTCGCATTTGGATGGGAACCTGCCAGTCGTCTCGGGCGGCGCCATTGCAGTTGTGAAGAATATCTCGGCGTGTGTAAGCGATAGTAACACTGCAATGGTGGTAATGGGATAGCTGGAATGATTAGCGATAGCAAACTATTGCTTCTGGTGAGAGTGACTGAGCCAAGAAAACAGTTACTGGAAGGTAAGCAAGGAGCCTTGAAGGTACGCAACAGCATCACATGGCTAAAGCTCTTGACTGCTTTGGTAGGGAAGGAGGCACCATCATCATTTGTGGGCTAGGTGCTGCGAAGGCAACAGCAGTCTCTATCACAATATTTCAGCCCTCAATGCTCCTTCATGATCTTCTCGTCTCCAATTCGCTGGGTGAAGGTTACCGTTCTGTCCTTGATCCTCCAGATACCACTTGCACCGCGCACACCATCGAAGTCACTTTGCTTCGTTTCTAGCATTACCATGTCGTCCACGTACTTGCCATACGCGCATAGCATCTTGCCCTCGTGGGGACCTTGTCCGAACTGCAAAATTTAGTACTCGAATTCAAGCGTAGGCTGAATACAGATACGTATGCGACACGCTAAGTTGTCACACAATCCAAGCGCATACACGAGACTTTGAGTGTATGTGGGATGCACTAACCGAGCTGGGATTGAGAACTGAAACAGAGTACTTACGTGAACCCCTTGGAAATACGTCACTACCCGGGCCGTCTGCGCATCGGATCTGAATGTGATGGTCTGTGTGGTGAGGTTGTGATGTGTTCGGATCGGTCCAAGGCTGTGTATCGTCAGACATCATCCTTGCCAATCTACGGAGGATAAAGCTACCGGTTCTTGATCGCATCCTTCAGTTCGTCAAGGCTCTGTATGGCTTCATTGAAGGGGTAGCTGGCTTCAACGTCCGGTACGAAGACCTTGCCCAGCAGATCGAAGTCCTTCAGATCCAGAGCCTGACAATACCGCGATACGACGTTCTTGATGGCCAAGACATCCAAAGGGTTGATATCTGACATGGTGTACGGTCTTGTCTTTCGTGTGTCTAGCCCATGAGATAGGAAAGCGTTCAAGGATTATAACCTGCTCCTCTCGGAACCCCGCTTTAGAGAGCCGGAGCCTGTGAGGGCGGTAAAGTGGGTTTCTACTCTTGGTTCAGTACCAGGCATCGCTACGGATTGTTCTATGCACTCGGGGTCCAGACGTGCTGTCCCTGTGTGTTGTTACATCACACTACCGCAGATAACCAAGATTCACACGGAAGGACGGCGCACATGTCGCAGGCGGCAGGTCATTGTGCCATCTTGGAGCGGCAAAACATGACAAGAACAAGCTGTACTATCCAGAAATATAGGTGTGGTCACTGTCAATGGAGGCCATAGCGAAGTCTGCTGGTTGGCGAAAGACGCAGACACAGAAGAGCAAAAGGGGCGGGGTCCTTGCAAGCAGTCCTGATTGGTCAGAATAACCCAGTTGCCAAATGCGTCAGGTTTGGTGCACCTGTAGATAACTGCGCCAGAAACTCAGGTGAACACAATGTCTAACCTAACGCCATCTTTGTCTGAACATGATTTTCGCGCCAACATGCTCTCAACATCATTTGCGCCCTGACGTCGTCTCGGTGCTGTAGCGGTCTCTCAACTGACTTTGGATGAATCATGTGTTGGCACAGTACATGGCGTGTGAGCCGAGAAAGGATGATGACTATGCACTCCCGATATGTCAAAGAGAGTTCGTTGAGCCTGATGCTTTTCACTCGAAGTCGCCGGAATCGATGGCTCGAGCCCCTACTTGCCCGTTTAAGAAAGCTAGGTAGATGACGTACCTGCCCGGTCTGGTCGTGCCTTGGTCGTACACGGCAACTTTCTTCTTCCAACCTCCTCATATTCGCCATGCTATGTCTTTGCGCCCATGCAATCATTGACGCATACTGGACCTACGCGTCTTGCCAGATTAGGTGATGACTGAGGTTCGTTCCGCCCCATCCATGTAGCAGTGGCTGCGGCAAAGACGCGTATTTCCTCCCGTTAGGATTCCCGCATGCCACCTGCATATCACCCCAGCCAGCCCCTCAGAACACATGAATGAGGCGTGATATGCGCCGACTCGCCTAAGCTTCACTCACAGTCCTCAAACAGTCGTAGCTAATCAACTAGGGTCGTTTCGTAAGCAAAGTTTTGATTAATTCGCAGCTGCTCAGACAGGTGTTTTGCTTGGTTCGGTGGAGGCACTCAATATGTTCACACGCGCCGAGGGTAGGCATCCACCACAGCGCGGATACGATAGGCTTGACCTGTCACAGTGTTGCAGCTGCAGTGACGAGCGTTCCCCAGAACGACAACTTTCCTTGTCTTTGCACCCTGTATGCCGGTATGACATGGGTTTACCCCTCATGGAGGACGAAGAACATGCAGCCAGTGTGGGGTGGGTGGGCGAAGAGGAGTCCTGTCGAGCAATATAATCATCTCTAGCGACTCGTTTTGCTTTCATCCCTCTGTCCTGTGTTCTTCTTACCATTGATCAACAGTTTGTGCACGCAAGTCGTGGGCATGATGGCAGTGATGGATACGACAGATCTTGTTGCGAAGGCTCTCAACGCAAGTATCGCTACGCTTGTGATACTCTTGACAGCAACACTTGGTCGAATCTTCTACATGCAGAAACTGCATCCTCTTTCAAAGTTCCCAGGGCCATGGTATGCGTCCTCATTCTCTGTCTTTGGGGCCATAGTCTCTGTATTGCACAAAGAGCCTCAGTTCTTTATGTACTTGGTAGAGAAATATGGAAGTAAGCGGCCCTCGAGTTCCCTACAGCCGTAGGTTCTAACCACAAGCGTAGCGGACAGCCCCATTCGCATCTCTCCTACGATGCTGCTCTTCCCCAAGCCTTCCGCCCTCAAGGACATCTATCGAGATCCACAATGCAACACAAGGGGCGGCATGTATGATAGTGGGGCTTTGGGTCCCCCGCATTTGGTTTCTACGATAGACGGCGAGAAGCATCGTGTCTTGCGCAAAGCTTTGTCGAATGCGCCATGGTCTATTGGTCCACTGAAGAATGCATGGGAACCTCGCTTCGATGAACAGGTCTCTCTTCTTATCAAGAAGCTGAAAGAACATGCGGAAGCTAAGCGCACCATTTGCCTCTCCGACAAGGTTGCGGAATTTGCGGCAGACATCCTCAGCATCATCTCATTCACCCAACCCTTTGGTAGTGTCGAGAATCAGCGCGATGAGAAGTATCTATTGACCAACTGGCGCAAGGGCCTGACATTCTTCGGCTTCTCAGGGAGGTGTCGATTCTTCAGGGAAAGGATTCTGCGACTGCCTGTTGTAGGTTCCTTGCTACTACCAACTACATCCAATGATTATGGAATGGGCTGGTTGATGGGCGAAGCGGACCGTCAAGTTACCAGGCGGGAGCAGCAGAACAAGGAGAAACCATTTGAAGGGAGGCCAGACTTCCTGCAGCAGTAAGTATACAACATGTGCCTGACTACTGCTCTGTACTCATCGTGTTTAGCTGCCTTGATGCCCGTTACTCAGATGGCTCTCCACTGACTCCAACGCAAAAGCGTGCTCATGTCACACTTCTCTATCAAGCTGGAGCAGACACCACTGGTACGGCGCTAGGATGTATCCTCCGACTAATCTTGACAAACCCTTCTACACTTGCACGTGTTCGGACTGAGCTGGATGCAGCAGAGTCGTCTGGCCTTCTATCAACACCCATCCGTTACGACGAGACCCTCCAGCATCTCCCGTTTTTTGTTGCATGCATCAAAGAAGGTCTTCGCCTCTTCCCACCGGCCCCCAACCTGTTCCCTAGAGTGATACCAAAAGAGGGTAAAGTCATTGATGGACATTATGTACCTGGTGGAATGGATGTAACCAGCCATGCATATACTGTCCAACGTGACAAAGACTTCTACGGGCAAGATGCTGAGGACTTTAAGCCTGATATGTGGTTGCAGAGCGAAAAGAGAAACTTTGAGCTGGAGGCGGCTCAGTTTACATTCGGTATCGGCTCTAGAATATGTCTAGGCAAAGATGTTGCGAAGTTAGAGATGTACAAGTTGTTACCAGAGGTGAGTTCCCCGTATAAAGCCATTCAGCGGTCTAGTTCGCTGACCTGCAAGATCATTCGTCGATTCGACATCCAAGTCAAGAATTCCGGTAGCTATGTCGTTGATGGCGGAGTGGCTTATAACGTCGACTTTCTGGTTGAGTTGACTGCTAGAAACTCCGTCTAATGAGCCTCAGCCATCTGAACGATAGTTCTCAGGTCGGTCATACAGGTTGTCAGTGTTGCCGTGAGGTGTATGAAGTGGGTATCGAGCGGATAAAGAGGCTAAAAGGCTATCCGAAAGAATCCCTTCCCCCGCCCACTCAGCAGATACCAAGCCCATCGGCCTTGCTTTTAACGATCTTTAATTTCTCCGATATCTCTTGCATGTCCCACACACGTTGTACATGCTTGTGCCAGATCTGCCCAGTATGATCGCCACTATGGAAAACAGCTATACGGGTATCGCAATCTATATAACACATGTCAAGGCGGGTATTTACATCGTATCTCGAGATCATCAGATGGAAACCCAGGTTGGGATCACCTATCAACTGGGATGATGGATTAGCTATTTAGAGTCGCTCCCCAACTCCCATCATGGGATGCACGAACAATCCTCACAATGCATCTACCTACACTCAGTGCTCTTCTTGCCTTTGGTAGCATCGCCGTATGCACGCCTCTCGACCCTCGGCAGCAAACAGCTACAGCGCTTGATGCTGCCATCAAGGCGCGAGGCCGTTCATACATCGGCACTTCTTTGACGATCCGCAATGACAACACTGAGCAAAACATTATCCGTAGTGCAGAGTTTGGTTCCATTACGCCTGAGAATGCGATGAAATGGGATGCCACAGAACCCAACCGGGGTCAGTTTAACTGGGGAAGTGCAGATGCTATCGCGAACTTTGCGACGCAAAATGGAAAGCAGGTAAGTTTTCTTCGTCATCACGCAACCTCCTATGGGAGTTTGAGCTGATGATTGTCATAGATGCGCTGCCATACGTTGGTTTGGTACAGTCAACTGCCGGGTTGGGTGAACCAAATCAACAACAATGCTACATTGATGAGCGTAATGGAAAACCACATCAAACAGGTCATGGGTAGATACAAGGGAAAGTGCACTCACTGGGACGTCGTCAACGAAGGTAGGAAGATTGATGAAACGAGATAACCGAAATGAAGTAAGGAATAGCCAGCTAATCACACAACAGCTCTCAATGAAGACGGTACAAACAGAGACAACGTCTTCCTCCGTTTAATCGGGGAGCAGTACCTTCCCATCGCCTTCCGCATGGCCGCAGCTGCCGACCCATCGGCAAAACTCTACTACAACGACTACAACCTCGAATACGGCACGGCCAAGCACCTCGGCGCCCTCCGAATTGTCAAACTCGTGCAATCCTGGGGTGTCAAGATCGATGGCGTGGGTCTACAGGGTCACCTGGTTTCTGAGCCGACTGGCACTCAGAGTGAAGTAACACCGAGTGTTGCTGTATTGACCAAAGTGCTGCAAGATTATGCGAACCTAGGTGTCGATGTTGCGTATACGGAGCTCGACGTACGATCCCGTACCCCGAGCAATACGCAGAAGTTGGCGGATGCGGCAGCAGCTTGGGCGAGAATTGCCCAGAGTTGCATCAATGTGCAACGTTGTGTTGGCATGACCATATGGGTAAGCTACTTTTATTGCATTCACAGTCTGTTTGGCTTGGAGATTTTGCGCTGACTTGTTTAACTCTAGGGTATCGCGGACAAGTATTCTTGGGTTCCAGGTACTTTCAACGGAGAGGGGTCTGCATTGCTGTGGACGGATAACTTCCAGAAAAAGTCCGCTTACACAGCGTTCTTGGACGTTTTGAACGGGAAAAACGTGACGACAGTGTAAAGTGGGAGACACGCTTTGGAGGATCTGCTCGGAAAAGAGAAAGAGTGCTCATCCACACAGGTGGCTAGGTAAATCCAGTTTGTACACCCTCTTCCACTATTCACGTAACCTCAAATGACCTTAACATATCATCTTTATTGTCGTGCCTTCTTTCTCTTCTAACCCTTCCCGTATATAGCAGCTCCATCTACAGCTGCTTACCCACCACCCTGTCAAAATGCTTGAAGCAGAATTGTCCTCCAACAAAACAAGTTCCTACCCACTTCCACCACGCTGCACTCATGAAGCCAACACCGTGCTCTTTCAGTCGCTTCATAAACATGACCGTCTCAACTGCATGCGCGCCAAAAAGGAAGTAAAACAAGCCAGCTTGGATCCATCGGCCGGCTGTAGCAACGTTCTCCGGGAGTGGTGAGCCGAAATTGTCAGGGCGGAACATGGCCGGTACAGGAGCGGCAGAGAGCGCCATGACAACGCCGCAGATGATGATGGGTTTGAGATGTGGGTGCGAAGGTGGCGTGTAAGTGTTGCGGAAGTTTTTCGGCGCCATGGTCGGTGATGATTTGTGTATCGTCTTGGTGGCTGGACAGTTTGTTGAATTGTTGTTTGATGCTATCAATGAAGGTAGTTTTTTGGTCCTGAAAACTTGATGCTATACTAAACAGATCCGCAAGATGCCGAGGTATCCATTTCCGCCAAGACTCCAGCTTGAATGCTTTCTCGAGAGGGCAGTCGCTCCCAGCGAGTCATCGTACAAACGTTCAATCCATAAACCTACCACCTCTATGCCTTCTACCGCAGGCTAGAGGTAAAGACACCAAGCTCATGGGTCCTTTACCGACCCTGGCCGGCTCAACTACTGAGGGTGGGGCGGTTTTCCGTATATGGCAGGCTGACATTTCGACTGTAGATTACTGGAACGGCTGCAAACGTATACTTAGCCTGGTGATTATGCAGTAGATTGCGATCACATGAAGCGCTAAGGGTCCTCTTTGGGAGCTTCGGACGCGGCGTTGAGAGTAGTGGGTTGCTAGGAGTTGGGGCCGTTCATGCAGCCGTGTGGCACGGGGTCGAAGCGGGAGAACTTTGGAAAGAGAGATGGTAGCGAAGGCTAGGGACGGCACGAAGCTCTCCCACGATTTTGCCGAACGTCAAGGGTTGAAGCGTCGATTGCAGATGTTGTGTCATTGTGCTCTCCTTGTTCGCATGTGAGTGAGGAGAGGGTGTGGAGTCCACAAGGAACCGGTTTCCTTTGAAGTTTGGTACCATCATGCACCAGCGCTTGGTGCGGAGCCGCAGAACGCCTTCCACAACACAGTTCTCTCACAGTCTTTACTTAACAAAGCCCTTGGAAGCTTCCAAACCTCCTGCTTCCACAAAACCCACACTAGATCCCGAATCGCAGGGAGTCTTTTGCTGTAGCAGTGACGCCGGTGTTCAATAGCTCGCTCATTTCCACCAACCCAGCCCAAGCCAACTTTACCCCTCCAAAGTACCTAGGTACCTTGCTGCAGCTCAAGGATCTCACTTTCCCTATTCCTCCCACACCTTTTCTTTTAATCCACACCATTGCATGCCTTTCAATACAACGACAACAGGGAACAACCTAACAACTTGACACCACGCGGCTCGATGCCAATATGTACCGGGTAAGTGTACCGGTGTGACAATCCACTCTCCAGCGCAAGCAACCCGGCTTTGAGCCAATTACGGCGCGCCACTTGCCACATCCCGTGCAGCAGTGCCGGTACGCTGCGCTGCGACTCGCTTTTTTTCTCGTCTAGAGATGTTCATGGATCAAGGTGGTTGTGTTGCAGCAATCGATAGAAAAGCTGTAGTTGCTTGATGGGGTAAGTGGGTGGGTTGGGTTAAGTTGAGTTGTGCAGGCATGGTGTCTTATTTGCTTGGTATAAGGGTAGTAAGACCTGTGGGCAAGCGAGTTGATTGAACAAGACGGAGGACCCGGAATGTTCCGAGCACGCATTTCTTCTGTATGCTTCAAAGGGATGCGTGACTTTCAGGAAACTTCAGAAGAGGCTTGTCGTGGAATGTATCTGGTGGATGTGTATACAAATGGTGGATCGATTACGCTGCTATAATTCAGATTGTAGTACTTTGTTCTTTTTCACCAATATTACAGCGAGAAGTACAGTACGAAGTTGGCACAGTCCACTATACATTGCACTCTCTGCTACATCTTCATCTGGATCTTCATTGTCAAACAGCCCCAAGTCCCTCTTATCCTTTTCTAATAAGTCGAGGTTGTTTTGCTTTTTTCCATCACCGTAGCTCATTAGTCTGGTACGCGCCAAGTTCAGCCATCGTTAACCGCATTCTCCATCAAGTCCATAATTTCAATGTTGGCGTAGCTACAGCCGAGTTGTGGCATTCGAGAAGTGGTTTTGAAACTGTCGTTCGGATCGAAAGAAGGCTTGTGAAAGGATTTGAGATAGGACTTGTAGTAGGACCGATAGTGCAGTTTGACTGTAGTGCACGGTACCATCTTGTATCGTCTGAAAGAGAGCGAAAGGAAGGAAATTCTGACGCATCGAAGAAGGGCCGCATTATGTAGTTGAGAGGTCTAAGAGCGTCCAAAATGATGTATGCGAAACAAAATCGTAAATAATGGTAGCTAGTAGGACAGTTAGGGAAACCAGGGAAGATTCCCTATATAACTTGCATCATATGTCTGAATCATGAGAGACACTCGAGGCTCCGTGGAGCTGGAACGTAATGGGCAAACAAGAGGGGCTGAAGAACAATAGTAGGACATGGGGTGGCGGTTAAGAATCTTGGAAAGGGTTTCTTGTGGCAAGCGAGCCATGCATCTAGAGTCGTCAAGAAAAGATCCTACGTCTGAGCTTTGAGAAAACCGACAATCGAGAGGCAAAAATAATGAGAATCGGGAACCCAGATGAAGGACATGATTTACATTTTTCGGGCCGTACCTTGGTATTAAGTCACTTCCAATGGCATCCTCGACCTATTCGCCTCTGGACGCGACAGGCAATAGATCCTCTGACGCAGCTGTTGACCCTTCCAGAACCTTTCGAACCCAAAAGTAACACAGCCAATCAATACCCGATATCGCACGTTGTAACGTCCTCTACGAAATGCTTCTCCCGATAACTCCTCGTCCACCAAAGATACCATGGCACAACATTCATCTTGATCTTATGCCCTAACCAAGGCGTATCCTGCACCGTCTTGACAACACTTTGACTCTCATCGAAAGCAGTATCGATTCTTGCACGTCTTAGAGATTCATACGCGTCAAAAGCTTCCTTGACAGGTACGCCTTCGTCACGTTTCTCTTCGATCCATTTAGCCAAGCAGCGCGAGAACAAGACACCATCTTCGAAGACAATGCCTGTAGATTCACCTTGTGGAGGCATGGCGTGTGCGGAATCTCCAATCAACATAACACGGTCAGTAGCCCATTTGCCCCCTTTGGAAAGAGTGAACACCGGCCAGAGATATAGACCCTCTGCATCTTCAATCCAGTGTGCGATCTGTGGGTTCGCAGCACCTGAGTAGCGATCGAGCATTTCATCGCGGATCTTCTGCACATCTGCTCCTGCTGCTTTCCAGCCGTTTCGGTCAGCGATCTCGGGGACTTGCATCAGCGCGCCTACGTAGATGCTTTCTTGGGCTTGGTCGTGGAAGGACGTTAACATCATGCCGCGACGACCAAAGTTCATGCCGCTAACTTCGAAATGCGTAGGCTCATAGTCTTGACTGGAGTCCATCTTTCGCCGGGGTGCAAAGCCAAAGGCGTTGCATATGCCGCTGTACATTGCTTTCCGCTCGGGCTCGACGTGCTTGAGGCGGGTGACGCTGTGGATACCGTCACATCCGATAAGTATATCCGCCTTTGCGCTTCCTCCGTCTTCGAAGTCGATGCTCACACCAGTGTCGCTTTCGTTGATCTTGACCGTCTTCTTGCCGCATGTGAGCTTGATATTTGGATGTTTCTCAATGGCAGCAAGCACGCCTTTGAGCGCTTCTCCTCTCGTGATTCTCAGAGCGGTGAATGGAGGATCACCCAATCCCTTTCCGTCTGGTCCTCTGAATGAGCTTTCTGCTATCTTGACGTTGGTGTAGAGGTCGAAAACTTCGACTGCAAGACACTCTGCGCCATAATTTTTGGCGCGGATCTCATCAAGAGCCCCGAGATGTGAAAGCAGACGTAGGGCGTTGGGTGTGAGGTTTACAGCACCGCCGATTGTTGCAGGCTCTGGCCTGATCTCAAAGATGGTGATGTTTGGTGTGGACGAGGCAGGAGCAAACTTGGTTAGGGAAAGAGCGGTCGTTAGGCCGGCTATGCCGCCACCTAGGATGATGATATCCATCGGCTTTGGGAAAGCCATAGCAGAACGCGTTGGATATACTTTTGCTAATGTGTTATTGGAAGTACTAGATCGATGAAATGTACGGCTTCGGGTGGACTAGTCGATGGTTTGTCGCTAGAAAGCAGTTGAGGCTTGTGATAAGGTTCGAGCACAAAGAGCTTTAGATATACATGTTATATCGGAGCGGTGTCCAGACATCGGACTTAGATCCCATCTTCGTGTATCTGGGGATGCATGCCTTAGCGCTGACTGCATACGTGAGTGGTTGTTCCGGCAGGTCGAGTTCTCGGTAAAGGGTTGGGGAACCGGTCAGGTAACATCATCAGTCTAGCACGCCCGAACGGCCCGGCAGCGTGCATTGAAATCCACACTTCGAGTTTGGTATATGCAGGGTTTCTGCTATCGGCATGGCAAGATCTCAGATAACAACACAGCCTGGGTACTACAATGTTGGTATTTCGCTACAGACCCAAAGCCACATGAACGCCGGTTCCTCATGCCTACTAACTTACAAGATATACATTGCGCGCCAACAAATTCCATGATGCATTCGAAAGACGTCTACTGCTTCTTCTGCGCGTTGGGGCCCATCTCCTTGCTAAAGGCAAAGTATGAAACCTCGAGACTGGTAAGGGCTCGGATGCCGAC